AAGGGATGAGAATATTTTATTACTTTATTTTAGAATTTTTTTATTATTTAGGGTAAGAACTGTGATCCAAAGTTTAGACGCGGTGAAAATTTAGAACTTAGGAAGGCGTTTTGTAGCAGAATTTAGGACCCGTAGAGACTGCATCAGGTTGTATCTAGTGTCAGCCCTAGATAAAGCCGTAAGTATATGTGGGAATAAATATTCAGGACTCTGATTAGTTTTAAGCATGTGCAAGAAATAAACGTAGGTATAGTAAATAGTAAACTATACTTCAGGTCAACCTAAGCTGAGAACACTGGATATAGTAGAAAGTGTATGCGACTGCCGTAAAATATATTTCTACCATTTCGAGAAGTAATATTGTAAAATTTACGCTGTGATATATGAATACTGTTGAACAAAGAAAACAAAAGGAAAATCTGTGTGAAACAATAGATTACGTTGCTTCCAGCTTTTTGTTTAAAAATTTGCTAAATCATGTCAATCATTCAATGACCAGCAGGAAGACATCCTTTTTTTTTTTTTTTTTTTTTTTTTTTTGCATTATTGGCGAAACTGCAAATTCCAGAACCCCGACCTCACCCCACTCTTGACAAGAAAAGCACTTAGGGCATTCATTCATTCATTCACTGACCGGGAGGAGAAAAAAGCAGTTGTTATGGTATCTGCTTCATCTTCGACGTATGTGTATAATTTTTAACCTCATAAACCTGAATAAACAGTACCGCTAAGATTATCGTAATGAATGTTTTTGTCAATTACGAGAGGGCATTTTCCTAATAAATACGATAACAATATCGTTACTTGTTATAATCTTTGCGGGATTGAATACCTCAGTTAAAAAAAAAAAAGCCTTTTCCAATGCCACAATTTACGAGGGCTATCCAGAAAGTAGATTACGTTTTGGAATAAAAAAATAAACAAAGTATAGGAAACAAATTTTATTATATACAGATGAAAGCCACACTCAAATACTACTTTTCTACATAGTCACCATACAAATTAAGGCATTTATCGTAGCGATGTACGAGCTTGGAAATTCCTTCGTCGAAAAATTCGGCCGCCTGCGCCTTCAACCACTTCGTTACCTCTTCTTGCAGCTGTGCGTCGTCATCAAAACGCTGCATAGCCAGCCACTTCTTCATTGCTGGGAATAGGTGGAAGTCGCTCGGTGCCAGGTCTGGACTGTACGGCGGATGAGGAAACAACTCCCACTTAAAAGATTCAAGAACTTTACGAGTGACATTTGCCGTGTGGGGCCGGGCGTTGTCGTGAATCAACAAGATCTTAGAGCTCAACATTCCTCTGCGCTTGTTTTGAATTGCTCTTCTGAGTTTTTGGAGAGTTTTGGCAATACCTTTGAGAGTTTATTTTAGTGCCTCTTTCCAGGAAGTCCACCAAAATTACACCTTTTCTGTCCCAAAAAACAATCACCATCATCTTCCTTGCCGACATTGTTTGCATGCATTTCTTGGGTTTTTGGGGAGAACTTGTGTGCCCCCACTGCATTGATTGCAATTTCGTTTCACAGTTCACATGTTTCACCCATGTTTCGTCACCAGTAACGATGCGATCGAGTAAAGAGTCACCATCCTTATGGCAAGCGTCCAAAAATTTCAACGCTGCAGCCATTCGCTGATTTTTGTGGTCCTCTGTCAAGATTTTTGGAATCCATCTTGCACAAAACTTGTGGTAACCAAGCTTTTCGCTGATGATTTCGTGCAACAAACTTCGTGAAATTTGTGGAAAACTCAAAGAAAGTTCCGTTATTGTGAAATTTCGATTTTCACGGACTTTAGCATCGACTGTTTCGAGAAGTTCGGCGGTCACTATGCTGGGTCTCCCACTTCGATCTTCGTCGTGAACATTGGTTCGGCCATTTTGAAATCTTATGACCCACTGACGCACTCCACCTTCAGTGATAATGTTGTCCCCATACACTTCACGAAGCTGCCGATAGATTTCTATCGGTTTACAGTTTTTTGCAGTCAGAAACCTTATTACTGAGCGCACCTCGCAGCTCGTGGGATTTTCAATTAACGCAGACATTTCAAACCGTCACAGTATCTGAACGGAGCACAGCACGAACCTCTCACTAGCACGGCTAGATGCAGACTGAGCTGCGCAACGCTCTGACCCCAAGATGGCCGCGCTAGCCCCGCCCCTAGCGGACACAGACGGAAACGTAATCTACTTCCTGGATGGCCCTCGTAAAAATGCAACAGCCGTTTTCAAGGCAAAAAAAAAGGCAGGCATATAAACAGTTATAAATAACATTATAACTGTTATACAAGCTAACAAATCCCTTAGAAAATATAATATAGAAGTGTCGCACCAGTAGCTGAGTGCTTAAATCGTGTGAGCGCAAGCGAACGAACGGGCTGTATTCATGCTTGGTTTTGGTGGTTTTCCCATGTGTAACGTGAATAAAATTAATTAATTGTTTCCTTTAGAAAGTCCTCCACGAAATGCATCTCACCCCTTAGTTGGATATCTCTTGTGTGCTTTGCTATATTTAAATCACCTAACCTAACCAATACGGAAGTACTGATCAATTAAATTAACCATGGTAGAAGGAACAAGGGTTTCTGTCTAGAGGATGAGATGGCTTCGTGGGGAATTTATAAGGGTAAAGGACCTTTTTTATACAACACTCTGAGGGACTTCTATGCAGTTCAGAGCTTACAAAAGCCATTACAACCAACTCGCTACATACTACCAGTGTTTCACGGCTTAAGCAACTTTATCATTAATGCGCTTGACTTGCAGATGATTCCATCTAAAGAAAGGAATAACCAGATTTTTTCATTTGATATGCTTGTTGTTTTTATACCTCAAAGGAAATGTATGGTTTTTTTTTTCCTAACTTACACAGTCATACACGATAACTTATACAGTCATTCACATATAACTCAGATTCTCAGTGAGCTGAATCAGTCTGCTTTTTATAAATATATTCCTTTGTGCGAAGCAAAAGACCCACCTTTCACGCCCCATCACGCATAGACGTTTCATTCGTCAAAGGATAATTTTAATTTTAAAATACAAGCAAACTGTCGTTTAATACGGCAAATGTCTTAAAAGCAATAAATGCACTTGAAATTTTTTAATACTTTTTTAGTTCTTTTAGTTTGTTGTAACTAATATAAGATATTTCTAATGTTATAATTTTAATTGATTAGTGGAATTAATTGGTATTTGATTAATTAATTGGTATAAGATCATTTGATTCTTAATTTTTATGTTTGTTTTGCAGTTTTAAAGCTTTAATATTTTTCTAACAATTAATACAGGATATAATTCTCATAATATCTGCTATAAAATATTGTCAGAGTTTTTTAAGCAATCTCAAATTAACGTCTTTAAAAAGAAAAAATAAAAAATTCCCCTCGTTCACTGTTTTGGTAACAACAAGCCGAATAAAATCTTAAAAATTAAAAGAAAATAACTTACTACCAGATTTTCCAAATTTATATATATTTTACTTTTAACTAAGCAAACGGTCTTGGGGGAAAATTTGGCGAAAACTGCAAGGAATACATTGTTAACTCTTCTGGTTTCAAGTTTTAAATATCATCAAATTAGTATTCGTCACATTTAGATAATAGTGAAATATTTAACATAAATTATGACAATTAATAACATGCCCTACATTTTACACTATAATGAACTATCAATTTCAACTGCAGTTTCACTGCATAAAAAGATTGTTATTTAAATACGCTGGATTTGGCAAGAAATCACCAAATGTGTAGCAAATTGGAGGAATTGAATATCCACGAGCAGTTTACTGCGTATGGATAACTTGAAGAACAGGGTGAGAAGCTGTGAAAAGGTCGTTCTAGCTTTGTATGTGTTCTCAGGTTAGCTTGTCGCAAAGTATAATACAATTCAGGCTTAATTCAATACGCAATAGGAGCAAGACAAAATTTAGCGAAACAAGTTGGCTTTCGTCGCCAGTCTTGTGATACACAGCCAATAATGTATAATGGATGCTATTAAGCTAGGCTAAAATTATCTTTTACTGATTCTAAGGCATTTCAGTCAATGTAGTAGACTGCACTGCTCCCTAATCTTGTAATTTGATCCAACTTATTATTTTTTGCAGACTGTTATTATTATGGCAATTTTATAAAAACTAAGCTTGAACTTTCGATTATGTCGAAAAGAGTTTCTGGTAAAAACCTTGGGAAGATTTTGAAAATTATCGCCAACACCAAAATGACCCATTTACTGCTCATCATGAAGTCGTCGTAAGTAGCCCAAATCCCGTGTGCACTGGATACTAGGATTAAATCGAGTTTCCAATTCTGGAGCTGCCAAGGGATCTACAAAGCGAAAGCATGTTTCGATGTCTTTTAAACAAAAAGTGGAATTGTTGCAAAAAGTGGATAAAGGCATATACATCTCAAAACTGTCCGAGGAGTATGGCATTGGAAAGTCAATTGTATATGACAAGAAAAAAGAAAAAGGAACTTTTTGAATTTTTGGTGGAAGCAACTTAAACAACGTACATTAAAAGAAATGTTTAATAAAGTAAACAAATAAACATTAAGCTTTTTTTCTAAATTTTAATACCCTTTAGATCATAATTGTTCTTTATTTCATAAATTACGATTTCATATTTTTAATTGTATAATTTCTGCATGCCATTTTACGAGATTTAACTTGATGATCTAATATCCCGAAAAAACCCTAATCCGGAATCGCCGAAGTCCCGACGAGTCCGGATTTTGGACTTTGTACTGTACATCGATGTCTTACAACTTAAAACAGTTAAAACTACACTATTCATTTATAAATACCATGTATATATATATATACTATATATAAAATGAAGGCTTTTATGAGTAATACTTAAATGTAGTAGTAATTTGCTTTAGATTTAAGTTATGATTACACTTTTCACTTTTAAAAAAAAATTTAGATTGAATTTGTCTTCATGGTTAATAGGAGACTTTTCATGCCGAATGTGCAGTAATAATTTTAAAATATTTTAGGTTGCACAGAATATACCTCCAGCTGCTGCTGATCCAGTTCAAGAGCAGGAGCATTTTCAGTCAATGGATGATATTGCCTCTTTAGGTCTTGATGTTGTAACACCAGGATCTCTGTTTGGACTTGATCAAGTAAGTGTATAGTGCTTTAATGCCTTACTGAAGATATTATAATATAAAACTGCACACAGTAAAGTAGTTCTCAAGCTTTTTGGTATTTTACACAAAATAATATGTGTTGCTGTGAGGCAAGATAAATTTCTTCTATTTGTATTTTTCCATACTTTCGCTATAAAAATAATTCCACTCCCTTTTATTTTGATGCACACGGTGAACATTAAAATATATTCTGGGCAATTTCTAATAAAAATATTCATTTCTCAATGAAAAATAGTAAAATTTATATGCTGCTGACATATGTTATAAGTTACAAAATGTATTTTATATGAGAGTATTAACAATACTACCTATTAGGGAAGAACAGGAAACAGAAAAGTGTTTACAGAGACATATTGTTGCTATTAATGAACTCAGTATTAATTCCTTCTTGAAATATGACAGTTTAACACATGCTATTCACATTAAGACATATAGATATTGTATAAGATGCAGAAAATAACATAATACTTCTGCAAGTACAATAATATTTTTGCAAGTGATAGTAATGTATACCTAACAAATGTATTAACTTTTTTTTTTTTTTTTTTTTTTTTTTTTTGGCTATACTCAGGTATGCTTAAAATTTTGCTCTGAAGCAATTAGATGAATACTTGAGATGCTTGAAACAGTGTCTAGAAGTGTATTTCTGCACCGACTTACAAGATAATGCTGAAATACTGTTTGATTTTAGTTCCAGACATTGAGACAGTTTAGAGGATTTGCATTAAACTGTTGCAAAATCTAAAATTCTAAATTTTTCGCCAAATCTAAAATTCAGTACCAGTTATATAAAAAAATAGAGTTTTAACAAGTTTTATATGCATTCTGCAGCAGAAAAGAAATAGTTCATTTTTGCTCTTATTTTATTTCCTTTGGTATGACAGAACAAGGAATAACAATTAAAACTGTTTTGAAAATTCAAACTGTGAGCGGGTAGTAATCAAACAGCCATTAAAAGAATACATAAGGAGATTAAAATGGCTGTGACTGTAAGAAGAAATAAGATTAAATATGCAGTTTTTAAGTCATGAATCCGACTTTTAATTAAAATTATTAAAAAATTTCTTACATTTTTTAGTGTTTTAAAATTTATATATTTATATTATATATTTTATAATAGTTAAGTACTTATAAATTCTTTTTGTTGTTGTCCTTTCATCTAAGAACTGTTCTGTGCTTTCTATAATTTCCTTTTTAGTAAAATAAAAATATAGATGTATAAAATTATACTTCAAAACCCAAAATTTTTGTAATTGCTTAATAGTGATAATGATTCTCTTTAATGATGCAATATTCCAAATTCAGATGCTGACAATTTTAATTTTTGAATATGTTTGTAAAATATGCATATTGAATGTGCTTTTTCTTTACATGCTGCTCGAAATTTCTACAGTTTTTGAAAAATGCTGCTCCAGACTGCTCCTTTTTTTAAAATATGCTGCTACAGCCTGCTATGGGTTTAAAAATTTGCTGCTGTACTAGTTGATCCCAAAGTACATTTTTCAAACTATTCACTGACTGTTTTGAGGGAAATATTTTGCAGGTTGTTTTGCAGTATGTCACATTTTTTGAGTGAGTTATTTGTTCATCTTAATAGTTACAATGCCAAGACAATATTTAAACACGAAGTTAACAATGGAAGAAGAACTATTGCTTATCATTATGTTCTACACATCTTTAAAATGCTGTGTTCATCGAAATTGTGTTTTCAAACTGTCCTATGATGTGACACACATAGGACCAGGCATATGCTCAGGAACCTGGCTACTTGACTTTGTCACCTAAACTGAATGTACTTACTAACACTTCAAGTACTAAAAGCAATCTGTGTCCCTTGGAAGATGTGCTTGCTAGTTACACCATGGTTTCTGGTATGTGCCTGAACATATCTCTACTAATAATAATTGCAGGTTTTGATTAGCCCATATATCCTGAATGATCTCCTTTTGATGTCTGAAAGATAAGTCTAAGGACCTTAAGGCATCAGATTTTTCAAGGCAGTATTTTTTGTGGAAGATATAAATGTGTACAGAGTGTGAAAAATGGTACCGTCTTACAGAAAGTATCCCTTCATAAGTTGGGTATTGTTTACTCTTCTTTGAAGGTTATCTTGGGAAGTTGAAACTAAGGTTCACCAGTATGCCATTTCATGTGCTCCAGCAATCTTTTCCACCAAATTAAAGAATGATGTAAATGACAAGTATTCAAGGTTTATCAGTTGCTGTATAATTGGTGCCATGAACTGTTTGATTTTTGCATGTTCAGCTACTTTTTCGCACATCACCGAAAAGTATCCAGTTTCCTGAGACCGAAACAGTTGCTAAGAGCATCATTTGGGTACAGTGACACCTTTATTGGGGGGACTGGGTTTCTCTTTTCTAACTCAGAAATATACATGTTTTTATAGCTTTTTCATTAGTTTTTGGATTCATCTTCCAGTCTATATCACTGTGAATATCAAATTTAAGTTACTAAACCCATTATGTGGCAATAACAGAATTGGCAAGCAAGTTTCCTTTTGTAATAAATATTCTTTCCTTCACTGTATGAATCTTTTCCATTATACCTGGAATTGATTATGCGGCATATAGAAATGATATAGTCTTCAAAAGTACATGCATTCGACTCATGATTCAAGTGTAGTCCAATTTTACATTCTATAGCAATGCTAAAGTTATAACTAGTTAAGTCAAATATTCTGCTAAAATACCCAATATATAGCCTCACCCCTCCATTCTTATTTGGGAACATCTACATTAGGTTGCACATATCTTTTCGCTAATGAGTTTTTTTCTGCTGCATACTCAAAAATTTAATCTCTACTTTGTCATTAAGGAAATAAGTAATTTTATTTGGATTTTTTCTCTGGTTGTAAAAATTTATGGAAAATGGGTATGGTTGAAAAATTTTTTTATAGTTATAATGCAGCATTGAAAAATAATAAATGAATGTCGAGGAAGATGTTGTTTCTGTGTTAATCAAATATAGTAGTTGGCACTTGGATTTAGCAACCCTAAACTCTGTAAATCAGTGGTCTCGTACTTGAAATGCATGTGGGCCAGATGCATGATCTGAAAGCAACTGGATAATCCAGAACATTTTCTGACAAAATAAAATTTAAAAAAATTAAAAGAAAAAAATGTTAAGTTTCCTCTACTGATGATTCATCAAAACATAATAAACAGCAATAATAACATAAAGGAAAAAGTTCAGATTTATATTTATTTTCTATCGGAAATCTCTTAAGTTTGTCCATGCAAGAAACATCAATTTGTTGTATACTTTGTAATTCAAATGTAATCAGAACTATATATTAAACATTTATTATAGGTAATTTCGGTATTTTGAATCAATCATTAAATAACTTGCTTTCTAACCTTAACTGGAAGATTGGAAATTTCAGAATCCTAAAGTTCCACCAGGAATTAGCTGCCAAATTAAATTTACCAGTGCAGGAAATTTTCCCACTTTATCCTAGTCATGTGGCCTGGCATACAAGCATACGTTGACAAAGCCCCAACCTATTCATTCTGTTTTTCTTTCAGTAGCAGTCTTATATTTAAACTTATTCCATATCTTAATACCTTTAAAACTATAAACAGTATATTTGCAGCTAATACATAATTGATATATAGATTCACAGACCACATGAAATTGCTTTGGGGCCACATGCAGCCTGTAGACAATGAGTTCGAGACTATTGCTGTAAATGATTTAGAAATTCATAATTCTTTTAATATTTGCTTTGGTTACCGAAATTTGTGCCTAGGGCATGCATATTATACCATACTGACAAGTTTTGAGATAATGCATTTAGGCTCACAGAGAGTCAGATTTGCTTAATGGATGCAGCAGGTATCTGCAGTTTATGAGTATTGGTAATTAACATAATGTGCTAGGAGGGAAATCAGGAAAATTGGTTTAGATCAAATGAAGTAAATTGATGAATGTATGAATTGCATGTATGAAGTATTATAACTGACTTTATGACAACTCAAAGAGACAGCTGGTTCAAGAATGAGCAGTCTAAGAGTCCATAATGATTTCATGGGAACAGAATATCACCTTTAATTACTATGATATTATCAACATACCTACTGGAAGAATGAATTTTGTAGTATAATAATCATCAGCAATATTTGAATGCCTCTTGGCATAGTAAATGATTCTTTCGGCGTCTGTTGAATTTAAGTTAATTATCAATTTTCATTGTGAATGAGGTGGCCCCTGCACAAAGCCATATTGGTCTATTTTGTGTAGGAAATTAAGATTTATGTTGAAGTCAATTATTCCAGGTAGTTTATGAGTACTGCATATGTTAAAACCAATTTAGGCTCATATTACTGTTTTTCTGCATTTAAATACATTATTTCTTATAAAGAATACCTTCTTGTTGTACTGAGCAATATGTTGTGCACAATATCCAAGCAATTTATCGGCTGGATTGCCTTGCATATTTGGCAAATCTTAAGAAGTTAGAACATGTATGAAACTAGATAGAGATATTTTCTAAGCATAGCTTCATGCAAGAACTGTAATTGGATTGCATCTAAAAAGTGAGACAACAAAAAATAACGTTTAATTGAACAATAATTAAAACTTTTAGAAACATGCCCCCCCCCCCCCCCCCCCCCCCCGTGAAACAAAATGTGTCAAAATGTGTAGCAGCTCGGGTTGATTTACATGTGTCAGAAAATTGTACTGATTTAACTTATTATGTATTTATTGAATAAAAATACCCACTTGAATTTGGAGAAATCTTGAGTTTGGAATCATTTCTTTCTTATTACTGTTGCTCTTTTGTGTTAATTACAAAACTGTAGTTCTACACATGCTTCTTATTTTTTCTGTTTTTCCAACATCTTACAACAGGGAAAAACACTTATTTTGTAATGCTTTGTTAATATTCAATTTCTAATAGTTCTTGATTTGCTAAAATAACAGCAATATTCACGTAGCCAAAATTAAAAAACAGTATTGCAGAAGCTTTTTTAATGGGTTGCTTCACTTAACAAAAGATGAATTTCATTATTTGCAGCTTTAAAAGTTGATTTTCTGACCCATTATATTTGTCTGTGAGTTACATGAATTGTTTTTATTTTGAGCATATGTAATAAACGTAACGATAGGTTTGGACTGCATGAAAGACTCTGTGTGAATAATTTTTTTCAGCTGAAAAGAAGTACTTATGATTTCAGCTTGCATAATAATCTGTAACATTTGTTATTTTTCTCAGATTGATAACATACAGACTATTAATTCAGATTTTGTTTTGTAAAATAATGGATCAATGAATTTTTGTAAGTGAATTAGTAAAATCTCAGAGTCATGCACCTAATGTAAGATTAGAAAGTCTGAACTTTTTCCAGATTTTGAATGTGTTTAAAATTTGCTTGGCGATTGAAATATTTCATTAAACTTTCCATCATTTTTAAATATCTGATGTAAAGCTGAAGAAACCTACAACATTCATTAAGTTTGAATAATAGTTTGTTAAAAGTATTCCTTCCAGAAGGGAATTCCTTATAGTCCTAAAAAGAGAGTTGAGTTTGTTGGTCTTCAGATAGTAAGGTTGAGAAATATCACACTTGCTGTTATTTTCATATAAAAGATGTAAAAATAAGTATGTGACATCCATTTTAATTTCTTATTTCCATACTTGTAAAGTCTTTGCATTGTGTATCGCAGTGATAATTTGCAAAGACTGAATATCATATTGAAAGATAATAGATCTGTAATCAAACCAGGGCTACATCTTTGTGTTGTTAGTGTAAGTATTGCATTAAAATGCCAAACACATAACGTTTCTATTAACTTGCAGAAAACTCACAAATATGTAATACTTGCTAACCAGCATAAAAACATTACTAATCACATATGTGACATTATAAACAGGTTTAAATTTTATTTCTTAATTATTTTTCTTATGTACTAAATTGTACTTTGCTGACATGTCAGCAAGGTACAATTTGTAAGAAGTTTATATAGCAATAGGACATTACGAAGAAGTACAACATTAAATAATGTTCTAGAAGTATGAAATGCCAGTTCTAATAACTTAGCATGCTTGATATATTCACCGATGAATGCAGTCTATGCCTGTATTCGAGCTGGAATTTCTTGTTGGATGTTCTGCAGCATTTCAGTGTGTAGATCAGTGCTCCGCAACCGGTGTGCCATGAGTAGGATATAGGTGCCGCAATCAAATACATGTATTTGACATTTTGCAATTTTTTATCATGTATTTAATACACAATGACAATTTTTTTTCCTTAATAATGTCAATTTTAAATGTTTTTATATATTTCACTGTTGTGTGGTTGTGTGTGTGATTGTAAGTGTGTCAGCATTTGAATTTTTTCGGCACTTCCTTGATAACTCGGAACTCTTTGGTGTGCCACGAAATTCCAGAAAGATTTTTTGTGCATCGCAGGTGAGAAAAGGTTGTGGAGCACTGGTGTAGATTACTGCATGTTTGGATAATGCAGGCGGTATTGATACACTGCTGTATGGTTAGCTGTGCACCTCTGCTTTCAGGTAATCCCAGAAGTCCAGTGTGTTTATGTCAAGTGACCTCTTTGGTCTCTCCATGTTATCTTTGTAACAGATAATTTTGTGCTAAAAATTTTGCTTTGATGAAAACCAATCTAGTGGGACATTGTGACACTGCAACCGTCCAAATTGCAGAGGCTAATGCTAAGTCATCTAGGATGTCAGTACTGTGGTTTGTAACAGCTTCAGGCTTCATCCACTTAAAATTCCATTGTTGAACAATACAAGCCTAGTTTTCAGATTTTGCATCCAGAGACCAAGGCATCTGATTAAGCTCTTGTAGTCGGTTTTTAAATACTCTATTGAGTTGTGTCTAATACTCCATTGTGATACCAGCTGATGCAAGCACCATTATGTTAGAACCGCACAAAATGTGAAATGACTTACAGCAAGCCAGTTAGGAAATCAGGAATTGTGGTTTGAAATAGCTGTAAGTATCTGTTCAAGTTAAGATTCTGTAATAGAACACAGGTCCTGTGAAGTGAGTGTGCACTATCTCATATCACACACTGAGACATCCCTGCATGTAATGAACCTCTTGCTGTGATAATGGGGTTTTAAGTGCCCAGTGGTAAAAATTGTGCATAACAACACCCCATTGTGTTAAATTCCATGTCAGCTGTCTACATAATGTTAGCCGAGAAATCCAACTATATGTAATGTAGGGGTCGGCAATACGAGGCTCATGAACACCTTGTTGCCCATAAAGCAATTTTAAAATGCTACTATTCAAACATCTAAATTCTAAATTTTAGATATTTAGACAACAAGAAAACTGGCAATGAATGATTTTGGTAAAAATTGAAATTTTATCTTCACAGTTTTAACAGTTGTACAAATTGTACCATTAAACATTTGACAGAAACTGGATCATAGCATCATCTAATAAACACACCAGCTTGTTTGTACATAAACTTGTCATATAAATCTGTATTTTGAATTTTGAGTCTTCTCTTAGAATTAAATGATGAAAAAGCAGCACTGTTTTTGCAATGATTAGGAAAGTAATTTCACTATAGGTGATTATTGTGTGTCCACAACTTATTTCATTTGCACAATTTACTTGTCTGCCAACATTTATGAACAATCATAGACTCCAACTACTACGGATTCTCCGTAGTTTCTACGGAAATTCATGAAAAACTACGAGCTACGAAAAGTATGGAAAAAACTACGGATTTTACAGAAACAAGAGCAGGAGAACCAGTACGCAAAACGGAACCAACTAATTCATCCGATGATTGGCTGAATACTCGTGTTATCATATATCACGTGTTGAGTGCGTTCCTAGTTTTGAAGAATTAGCCAATCGTAGATCAGTAACTCCAACCGTTAACGACTTATATTCAATAGTTCCACCCGCAATTGTCTGTCTCCCATAGTTTCCATCGCTGATGCGTGTTTAGGCTGCATTCTGGCTGCCATTGTGTTAGTTTACGGCGAGAGCTTAGCGTGTGTCTTGTGAACTGTGAATCAGGTGAAAGTTTTTTGTTAATCATAATGCTTACCTCAAACGAAGACGCCAACAATTATCAAAGCAAAAAGTTTAAAGATTCATATTCTTCAGAGTTTCCATGCATTAAAGCGTCCGAAATTTCTGTGAATCACGCACACTGCAGTGTATGCAACAAAGACTTCTCAGTTGCACATGGCGGAAAAAGATGACTGTAAATGACATGTTTGTTTTCTCAAAAGCATATAGAACTTGGCACTGGGTTAAAATCTAAAGAAATAACAAATTTCTTAATAAAAGATGATGAAACAGATCCTATAAAAGCCGAATGCTATTTGTTGTTCGTTTTTTAATTGAACATAATCTACCGCTTTCTGTTTCGGATCATTCCAAAGAGCTTTTCAAAGCAATGTTTCCGGATTCTGCCATAGCAAAAAAATTTAGCTGCGGTCATACCAAAACTGCTGCTATTGTGAAAACGCTTGCAGAAAATACTGTTGCTGATATTATAAAATCAGTGTGCAGTACATCATTTTCTCTAAGTACTGATGGAAGTAATGATAACAATGATAACAAACTGTACCCATTGGTTATAACATACTACAGTAAAGAAAAGGGAGTGATAATTACTTCATTGATTTCTATTTTAGAATGCACGAATAATACAGGAGAAGGTATTTTTAATTGTATAAATGAAAACTTTAAAAAACAAGGTTTAGAATGGAAAAATTGCTTATCATTTTTCTTCAGATAATGCTAGTAATATGATTGGAAAGTTTAAAGGTGTAGCATCATTTATCAAAATGCCTCAACCAAGTATAATCACCCGAGGTTGTCCTTGCCACCTCTTGCATATAGCTGCAAAAAAAGCTACTGAAAAATTAATTGGCTCAGAAATTGAAATGTTGATAATAGATATATATTTTTACTTGGAGAAAAGTTCGAAACGGAAGCATAGCTTCAAAGTTTGCTCAACAAATTTGGGACAGAATGCAAAATCTCATAAAATTTTGATATACTGCAGTACAAAATGGTTATCTCTTTTAGAATCTATAACAAGGATTTTGGAACAGTGGGATGCTGTGATAAATTTTTTTGGAGATAAACCAGATAACAGTGAGAATGAAGGAAAGAGATTGCAAAACATTAAAAAAATTTTACAGTCACCGACCACCAAATTGTACTTGTGATTTTGAAAAATACTTTGCCTTTGTTTATAACCAGTAAATATTAATTTGCAACAACAAGCTCCTTATATACATAAATTGAGAAGAGAACTTTTGAACTTTTAATGAATTTATTTGTTAGATTCGTAAAACCATCAGTAATTTCTAAAGAAAATGAAAGAATGTTTACTCTAACATCTATTCCATTTCAGAAGTATAGTAAACAAAAAGAAATGAAAATTTAGTGATTGGTGCGGAAACAAAACTAATATATTTAAAAAATGCCAAGTTGAAATGAAAGGTGAAGTGAAATCATTTTTCAATTCTGTGCGAGCTTTTTTTTTTTGTAACTGCATGTTCATATATAATAGATAAATTTCCACTGAAGTGAATCCATTTCTAAAACATGCTGAAGTTGCTGACATCAACTTGAGAACTGAAGTCTCATTTTCATCTGTTCTTTACTTGATGAAATACTTTTTCCATCCATTATTGATGAAAAATGTCTTAATCAAGTGTAAATTGAATTTTCCATGTATCAAGTAGATGATTTGAAAGAAATTGTAGATTTGCGTATTA